AATCCGATTGCAAAGTTTAATATAACTTTCACCAGGGCTGGACTGGGACAAAAAATCGGCCCTGGCATTTTTGGCCCAGGCGGCCCACCAAAATCAGTCGGACACCCCTCACCAATCCACCATCCTTCCATTTACGGGCTCAGATTAGGGGCGTGACAAAAAGACAATAATATATTTTAATAGGCCTACTATTTACAAAAAAACATATTGATGAAATAGTTGATAGGGGGGTCTGGGGGTTCTTCTATATTTACATTGCATTGCAGGTTTATTGTGTAAATAAACCTTTCTCATAGCACTTTTATTTGTTAATTAACATTTCTTGGTGCAAGCTATTTTTCAGAAAATTTTTAATGCTTTCAAAAAGTGGTGGCTACATGTCCCCAGCGTCCCCAGTGTAAATGACCCTCCCTCCCAACAGGTTGAGCTAGTCCATGCTCACCGCTTCACCTCCACTCTCCCCCTTCTCTCTCTCCCTCTCAGCCCTGTCACTTTGTCACCCGCTATCACCATAGACTGGCAGTGGCCACAGCGCTCCTTCACTCCTTCAGGTCCCTGTGCTGCTCTACGTCATAGCAAACATATCAGTTGTTTTGAGGGGTAATGCAAGAAACAAAGGAGGTGGGGGCTAGTAAGAGATGTGATTGGGCTGGCCCAGTTTCCGTATAGCAAATTAAGGTGCATCGGCCCACCAGGCATTTGCCCAGTATGCCAGTTCAGCCCTGCTTTCCACTGCATACATACTACACTGCAGACGTGTGTGATGTTGCAGCCTTGCAAAGTGAAGTTTCTCTCTTATAAATGTGTGAATATAATGTAAGAGAATATTCAAGTTTTTTACTTGTAGATTAATCTTGGAAATTAAATTACTCTCCATCTCTGATGGCTCATTTTTTCTATTACAATCGACCTCATGTACAGTTGTACCTTTACATCTTAATCATATTACACATAAAATACAAAATAGACAATAAGAACACTGGGAAGATAATTAGGCTACAAATTTACTCAATGCGATGCCAACAAGCCTCCCTGGCTTTGTTGTCCGCCACGATATTAGATTTAGCTGTTAACTTGTCTTTACATTCATAATCAATGAATACCAACAGACGGCCGCCTCGTGATTACGCTCCGTAGTGCTCTTTGTGTTTTTGTTAATTAACGCTGTTTTCTGCCGTCCCTCTCTGGTAACTTTTACCAGAGAAGAGCTCTTAAACATTGGACTTTCAAACCTCATACTATTCCACCGCTCTTTATTGTTGCACGCTGGTTAAGCTGAGACAGCAGGGATTTCGCACTGCACTCCCTTCAGTCCTCCTGGCGAATGTCCGTTCTGTGGCCAACAAAATGGACGAACTGCTGCTCCTCAAGAGAACTAACTCGGACTTCTGTAGATCTGCCGCCCTCTGTTTCGCCGAATCCTGGCTCATCGAGCGCATCCCGGACAGCACACTTCATCTACCAGGATTTAATCTCATCTGTGCAGATCGCGAAAGGGAGCTCACGGTAAAAACACAGGGAGGCGGACTCTGTTTCTATATAAACGAAGGTTGGTGCACAGATGTCACAGTGTTGAAGAAATCATGCAGCCCTCACCTAGAGACATTATTTATAAACTGAAAACCGTTTTAATCACCGCAGGAGTTTTCCTCGTTTGTTCTGGTGGCTGTTTACATTCCACCTCAGGCCTGTTAGTGAGGCGTTACTACACCTGGCCGACCAGATAACTAACATGGAGAAAAAACATCCAGACTCCCTGCTCATTGTTCTTGGGGACTTTAACAAAGCAAACCTCAGCCACGAACTTCCAAAATACAGACAGCATATTAAGGGTCCCACCAGGGACACTAACACACTGGACCACTGCTACACAACATTAAAGGTGCATTACAACATTACATCTCTCACATCACTGATCAATGTCTGGTTCATCTTCTCCCAAAACACAGGCAAAAACTGAAATCTGCTAAACCTGTTGTAAAGAGTGTGAAAAGATGGACCAAGTCAAAGCTGGAGTTACAGGCCTGCTTTGACTGCACTGACTGGAGTGTTTTTGAGGCTGCAGCCACTGACCTGGACGAACTAACTGACATCTTACATCAGTTTTTGTAAGGACATGTGTGTGCAGACTAAAACCTTCCGCACATACAACAACCAAAAACCCTGGTTCACAGCGAAACTCAGGCAGCTTCGTCAGACCAAGGAGGAGGCCTTCAGAAGTGGGGACAGAGTCTTGTACAACCAGCCCAGGAACACTCTGACTAAAGAGTTCAAAGCATCAAAGAGATGCTACGCTGAAAAGCTAAATAACAGCTTTGCAGCCAACGACCCTGCGTCGTTGTGAATAAGCCTCCGAACACTCACAAACTACAAGAGACCATCTGCCAACACTGCTGGTATTCAACGACTGACAGCTGAATGGTTTCTACTGTAGGTTTGAAAAGCGCAGAGTCACACCTCTCCCCCACTCCAACGCCATCTTCAAACAGTCACCTTTTCCCCTCTGACCTCTCACCTGCACTCAAGATCTGTGAAGAGGATGTGAGCCACCTCTTCCAAAGGCAGAAGATCAAGAAGGTTCCTGGACCTGACGGTGTCTCTCTATCCTGCCTGAAAATCTGTGCGGTTCCTCTGAAGAAATACGGAGCGAAAAAACTATGCCTGCACGTCCGAACACGCCCCTTTTATGCAAACGCGCACCACCTCCGATTAAGTTAACACCGAGGCCCAATCCCAATTTCCATCCTCACAGATAGATTAGAAAAGAATGGTTTTTTCTCTACATATCAGAATGGTTTCAGACTTGCTCTTGTAAATAAAAAGGTGGTGGTAGGTGTGTTTTTTGATATAGAGAAGGCTTATGATATGCTGTGGAAAGACGGAGTAATCATTAAGCTGTATGATGCAGGGATTCGGGGCAGAATGATTAATTGGATTAAGGACTTTCTGAGGTCACGGTGTATTCAAGTAAGAGTAGGAGGGAGCTTTTCTGACTCTGTGTTCGTAGAAAATGGGACTCCGCAGGGTAGTGTCATCAGTCCAGTTCTGTTCAATGTAATGATTTGATGAGGTAGGAAGTGGATTTCAGCAATCTTTGTTTGCAGATGATGGAGCAATGTGGAAAAGAGGCCGTAATACTGGGTACATATTTAAACAGATGCAGTGTGATTTGAATAAGGTGCAGGCCTGGAGTGATAAGTGGGGTTTTAGGCTATCATTGAAAGTTGTATGGGGAACCTCTTGAGAGAGCCAGGGTCTTCAAGTTTCTTGGGGTCTGGGTAGATGAAAAGCTAACGTATAAAGAACATTGGTGTATAATTGGTGAATGGTGAATAAATGTGGAAAGATTATTAATATTATGAGGTGTTTGGCTGGGTGTTCTTGGGGTGCAGACAGAAATCTTATGCTGATGATTTATAAAGCTATGATAAGATCAATTTTTGATTATGGGTGTCTTGCATATGGATCAGCAGCTAGGTCCACGCTTAATAAGTTAGATTTGGTTTAATCTAGGGCTTTGAGGATATGTACCGGGGCATTCCAGGTTCCGCTAAGGCTGCGACGTGCAAAATTGGCAATAGATTATTTTGTAAAAATGAAAAGATTTGGGTCTTCAGCTCTTCCTTCAGTTTCTTTGTTAGCAGAGTGTTGGGAGTTTAGAAAGGGTGAGAGTAGGCTTAATAGAGATAGTGTTTTACATTCTGTTAAGACATACGCAGAGGAGCTTAAGCTTAATGAAAGGAAAATGGTGCCTTCTGTCTACTGGCCATCTATCTTTCATTGGCTATTGCCTGAGGCTGATGTAGACATAACTATTAAAAATTCAGTAAAGGAAGGAAGTGTAGGAAATGTTGCACATTATGTACAGGAGCATCTTAGGAAATTATGGTATAGCTCCATAGATATTTATACAGATGGATCTAGAGACCCTGAGAATAAGAAAGTGGTTTATATGTTACCCAGTTTCATGTTAGACAGTGTCATAGACTGCCTGATGGTCTTTCAATCTTTACAGCTGAACTGGTAGCAATCATACGGGCTCTGTGGTGGGTAGAAGAAAGTGGGGTGGAGAAAGCCATCATTTGTTCACTATCTGGCTTGATGGCGATAGGGGGGAGAAAGAGGAGGGGCTAGGTTAGATTTAGTCGGGGAGATCTTAACAAGGGTTTATAGATTAGAGAGGCGGGGGTGTAGTGTGGGTTTCTTGTGGGTTCCAGCACATGTGGGGGTTGAGGGGAATGAGGCTGCTAGGGCAAGTTTAGGAAGGGAAAATGTGGAGGTGGAGGTGCCATTTGACAGACTGGAGTGCCGTAGCATCATTAAGGAAAGACTGACACAACAATGGCAGCACGAGTGGAGTAAAGACACCAGCGGGAGAAAGTTCTATGACGTAAAACCAGTAGTCAAACCTGGGAACACAATTATCTTGCCTCGGATGGATCAGATTAAGTTGGCCCGATTAAGACTGGGTCATTGTGGATTGGCAAGTGGGCTGTTCCTGGTGGGAAAGCACAGGGACAGCAAGTGCCAAGTCTGTGGAGCACAGGAGTCTGTCAAGCATGTCATCATGTTCTGTTCGAGATATGCTGAGGAAAGGAGATTGTTGTTCATTGGCCTAAACGTTCTGGAAGTTGATCTATTATCTGTAAAAACTCTGATGGGTGATGGTCCTAATCAAACAGAAAGAGCATTGGAACTATATTGGAAAATATAGGTCAGGGGGAGCTTTAATGAAGACTGTCTTTATCACCAGTGGGAGGCAGCAATGCTCTCAGTGCGCACAAGAAGAAGAGGAGGACAGAGTGGGCGGGGCCAGCTGCTGTAAGACCTGCGGTGGCAAACCTAGTTAGCTGTCCCCCAGATCTCTCCGTCCTGACCTTGGACCCCGTCGCCCTGAAGCTCTCCGCTCCCTGGCGTTTGGTGAGAAGAAGAAGGTGAGGATGTTGCTGTTAGTTCTCCGAGTCAGCAGAAGGTTAATGTGAGTTAGCAGCAGCTGCTGAATGCATCAGGAGATCAGAAGGCAGCATCAGTCTGAAGGTTTAGAGGAGCAGCTGCTTCTTCATAGGACAGCAGAACAGCAGCCAGCTGTGACCTCTGGTCCAGATCCACAGAGGAGGGTCACCGGGCCGAGGTTCATTCACCACAATCACAAGCAGCTTTATTGCACAGATGAGGAACGTGACTCTGGATTGGACAAAGCTCCCGATGTGCTGACTGACAGGCTGCAGTGTAGAGAACACAAGTAGACACACTGTGAACAACAACAGTGCAGGGAGGGAATTATTATTATGTACATGATACACAGAGCAAAGGAAGCAGGAAGTATTATTGTGCAGGTGTTATGAGGTAGGTGGCTTTGGTGTACAGTTTATACAACATGACAGTATGAACAGCTCTGAAATAGAGAAGGAGTCGACCGGAGGCAGACGGCGAGGAGGCCGCCTTAGTGGCTCAGAATCTTGTCCCCACGCCAGCTGATAAACAGATGATCTGATGCTCTGAATGTTTTCTCCTCTGTGTCTCCAGCCTGGTCCGGTTCTCCGCCGTCGTTCCCGGTCTGAAGTTCCACACCACAGCCTCTCCCATGACGGGTGAGTCTGCCGCGGCAGAAACCTTTCACTCTGTCGGGGTCATGTGACCGAGCCGCAGTTTGAAGGCTGAAAGCGTTGGTCGATCGGCCGACTGACAATCGATCGATCGATAATCGGTTCTTTATGAATCAGAACGTGGCAGAAGGTTCGTCCGGTCGCAGCTTCTCACCGTGAGGACGTGTCGCTTTAAAGCTTCTGACTTCTCACTCAGACCAGCCGAACTTTCTTCACCGGCCGCGGGTCAGTGAGAGACGAGCTGACGAGCACGCAGTAAAACAGTTTGAGAAATAAAAACCACGAACATGTAAAATATAGAAACATGTCAGAGACGAGAACCGAAACAACAGCGGGAGTAAAACCTTTAAAAACATGAAGACGATTAGATAAAAAATAATGTCCATAAAACAGCCGACTGAAGAGGAAGGGTTTAACACATCAACTCTCCCAGCAGCTCCAGGTTTAAAGACTAACAAGGCTTCTCTGTGCATCGTTATTCTTCATCATTTGGATGAATTCTCCGAGCTCAGAGCTTCAGCAGCGTCCTGTTACGTTCTCGCTGATGGCGTTCTGTGCGTGCAGGTGCGACGGTGCAGCAGTTCGAGGAGGCCAAGAGCAAACTGTCGGCGCTGAAGAACGACCCGGGCAACGAGGTCAAGCTGAAAATCTACGCTCTCTTCAAACAGGTGGGAGGTGTTCCACATGTTTGTGCTCTGCTCTGTTTCTTTAACTTGTTTCTGAAACCATGGAAACCTGTTCTGGTACAACCCCTAAATAAGAAGAACAGCTCCTGAGTTTCAGCAGCTCTTCTGCTCACATTCAGAATGTCTCCCACAGATCTGACATGTTGAACAAAGGGTTTCTGCTTCCACATCCAAATGCTGCAAAGGTTCGTCAGTAAAAGCTGAAACGTGTCTCTAACTGATGGACGTGTCTGCTGAAAGGCCGCTGTGACACTGTTACACATGTAGGACTGAATGTTCCCACAGTATCACGTCTTACTGGAACGTTGGGTTCATTCTGTTAACAGCAGATCTGCTTTGACTCTGTCTGCAGTATGTTGTATATTAATTACACATGTAACCCTCCTCCTCCTCCTCCTCCTCCTCCTCCTCCTCCTCCTCCTGCAGGCCACTCAGGGTCCCTGCAACACCCCCAAACCAGGCATGCTGGACTTTGTCAACAAGGTTAAATGGGAGGCGTGGAAATCTCTGGGCTCCGTACCACAGTACTCCTGCTGCAGGATCTGTGTATATATGGATTATAATTATAGATGGATTCATGTGTTCATCATCAGTTTAATGGTGCAGCTCATTTTAATGACCTTATATTCTGCTGGCAGATCAATAATCATTTATCTAAATCATAAGAACGCATCTTAATCTATTTTGTCTGTAAAGTAACAAAAGCTTTCAAATAAAGTGAGCAGCTGCACCGGTATTAAAGTCGCTCAGCAGTTAAATAACAAATGATTCCTTTATTGATGCTCACGTCTTTGTGTCGCTCAGGATGAAGCCAGGCAGCAGTACTGCGACCTGATTGGCTCCCTGGTGGCGGCAGAAGGTGGAAGCTCCGCCCAGGTGGCAGCTCAGCCCGCTGGGAGCGGGACGACGTACGAGACGCTATTGGTCACCACGGAGGACGGCATCACCACCATCAAACTGAACCGACCGGCCAAGAAGAACGCCATCACTACTGAGGTGTGTGTTTCAAACCTGTTGTTCGGTATAACGTCCTCGACAGACTCTCTCTGTCTCCCAGTTTCTGGTTTTGTGTTTTCATGCTGCTTCCTCTTCTCTCACAGATGTACTCTGAGATCATGGCAGCTCTGCAGCAGGCGGCTAAAGACGACTCGGTCCTCACTGTTTTCACTGTACACACACACACACACACACGCAGAGCGCTGATTGGCCGTCTGTGTCGTAGGGCTGGGCGTGGTCTGCAGTAAAACATCAGGATGGATGACGGCGTTGGGGGCGGGGTAGCGGCCGCCTAATAGACGGGTTTCTTACAGTTACTTTCAACCGTCGCAGCCCGTCCTTAAAAGTGACGGGAAACCTGTTCAGCAGCGCGTTTTAGAAATGAATCCACTTTACTGGAACAATAATGAACCTGAGGAGTCAACAAGCAGCCAAAGTGAAAACACTGCAGCCTCTCAGGCCAGAGGATGCTGCATCCTACAGGCTATAAAAAATAATAAAACAGCAGCAGTATGATTTATGCATAAAAGCATAAAGAATTAGCAAGTGTCTCGACTAATGTTTCTGTTTTGAAGAAGTATTCAGCACTTTTATGAAGCACAAACGTTGCTTAACGCCACTCTCTCCTGCCGGGTGGACGCTTCACTGGCAGCGGCTGCCGGAGTTTCTTTCTACAGGCTAAGTTTCACGTGCTGCTTTAGCAGGTGCTTCAATACAAAAGTGTTCGCGGTTCAAAGCAAAGTTTCCAACCATGTTGTTTGCATCTCTGAGTGTGACGTCGGGTGTCGCTGACCTGCAGCGCAGTCATGAAACACAAACAGATCCGACTCTGAAATGGCCGTTTATTATTGAGTCAACAAGAATTTAGGAACAATGCGTAATCTACGTTGATTGCAGCGGTTGACTTCTGTTTCTGAGCTCCTGAATGTTTAAGTGAACATCAGTAAACGTTCCTGCAGCTCTGAACTGAAACTTTAATGCTTCTCAGGGTCACGCTGACGGATTACTGATAATTCTCTCTCTCCTCTGCAGGAGCTGGAGATTTTTACTCCAGTGGAAACGACCTGAGCAACTTCACCAAGATCCCCGAGGGAGGGGTGGAGGAGAGCGCCAAACGTGGGGAGAGCTGCTCAGGTGAGCACTGATTGGTTGATGGTTTTAGAAAGTGGCTCATGTACGAACACCAGGACCAGGATGATGCAGACGGACCCCTCTGTCCCTGCTGACACCTGTGGTGTGTACTACGAAGCGAGGTAACCGGCTTATCCAGGTAACTTCAGGTGTCCCGATTAACCTGTACTACCGAGGTCTCTTGCCGTGGCGATTTACGCCGCATCTCTAAACTGCTCTGAGCAGGTTTTGTTGGTGGTTAACTGGATTTCACATATTCAGATTGACTATTTTACGTGTCCAAATAACACGGAGCCAGGGTCGGGGTTAAGAGGCTAACTCAGAACAAAAATCGGAAATTCCCTGAAACTAATGTTACAAAAAATCTAAATCACTCCGAAGTCTCTGAGGCGCACGATGGTGACTGTGGACTAAACGCAGTATTTCCTCACTGCTAAATCCGATTGTGAAGTCTAATATAACTTTCTACTGTACAGAATACACCGCAGAGAACGTTCAAGTGTTTTACGTGTAGATCAGTCTCGGATTATTCCCCCTCTCCGCTGGCTCCTTTTTTACATGCAGCTGTACCTTTTACATCTTAATCATATTACACGTAAAAGAAGAGCCCGTAAAATAGAGAATAGAGATTTGAACTACAACAAGAACACTGTGCCAACGAGCCTCGCTGGCTCTGTCGGCCACCACGATATTAGATTTAGCCGCTAACGTGTCTTTAAACGCCTCATATCCTGACACACTATCAACGTGTTTTCTGGGGAAAATTACGCAGCATGCGAACGCGCACCAACTCCAGTTAGGTTAACACCGACTCTACTACCCAACATCTTGTCCAGCGTCGTAGTTTAACTGAGTGGGTCGGACTTCGTGGTGCAGCCTCGGGTCTGGATTTCAAAGGTGTGTCAGCTGCTACTTCAGTCAGCACGTCTTTTTAAATGAATGAACTCCATCAGCTGATATATGATGCGTTCACTTAACGCAGGACTCGCGGACGCCTGAGCGTCCTGCAGTGTCTCAGTTTGGGTTCAGGTTCAGGACTCTCTCTCCTTCATCAGCAGGGAGTACGTGAAGGCCTACATCGACTTCCCGAAGCCGCTGGTCGCCGTGGTGAACGGACCGGCTGTGGGGATCGCAGTCACAGTGTTGGGACTGTTCGACCTGGTCTACGCTACAGAGAGGGTACGCACACGCACGCACACACCAGACGCTGACGTCAGAAACAGGTTCACCTCATGAACCAGTCTCTCTCCCCCCCACAGGCCACCTTCCAGACTCCCTTCAGCCAGCTGGGTCAGAGCGCCGAGGGCTGCTCCTCCTACACCTTCCCCAAAATAATGGGCCTCGCCAAGGTACACACAGAAGAAGAAGAGGACGCAGCTGACTTCTTTAAAAGCTCAGACGGTTCAATGTCGTGTAAAAATTCAAGACTTGGGCAGATAAGAAAGCTTGAACTTTTACCAACATTTTTATTATCAGCAAAAACAGACACCAATTAGAATACAAAAGTTCCACCGGAGTGAGTCAGAGATCGGTGCAAAATAGAGCCCCATTCTGTTACCAGAACAGAGACCCGAGTCCACATGAAAACCATGTAACGACTTTCACCTCCTTTTATAGCTCTGTTTCTTGGCTTCACATCATCTCTTGGCTCTCTTTCCTACTGCACCTGAATCTGGGAAAGTCCCTGACTGCCTGCTCCTCCTCTCTGTGTCCTCTGCATGCGCTCTGCTTGATCGTGCCATTTCTTCCATAACCTGACTTTTGTGGAATAAACTGGTGTTGTTTGTGCTCTGTGCCAGAAACGGGGACATTCTTACTGTGATGGACTATATTGATGTATGTTTTTGTAATACAACTTTCACAAAACCTGCTTCTATTTTTTTTCCTTTGCAGGTGTTTTTGATGCTGCCTCACTCTGCTTGCTCACACACACATGAGCCTGGGCAGTTAGATACAGAAAGGAGCACACACACTCAGAGCTGTAGAGTTTTAACACTTTGATCTAACTTTACACTATAAAATAACACTTTACATGATGACAATGTAGACCACCCTGTGCTGCTTCACTTGGACTCACAGCTGGTGATAGTCAAAGTCGTCTCTGTGGTGATGCAGGTCTTGCCTGCTGCTGCGTCTGCCTCACGAGACCTCATAGGAGAGTGGCCTCCTCTGATCTTTGACTGGCTGTGAAGGATTATTAAGCTTGCTTGCAACTGTATCTTACTATTACCAATAAGTGAACTTTATCCTACTGTTTGTAGTTTAGAGACTTTAACTATTGTTTCTATCTGTCTAATCTTTTTCTAGATATCCTAGATATTATATTTGCTTGCAATTTAACCCTTCTGACCTCCTGTATATCTGTGTATTGAATTACGTTGCTACTGGACGTACAAATAGCAAATCTTGAAATAACACTCCATTGTTCATTAGTGCACTAAAATTCTTCCATTCTTCAAACTAGTTTACTAATACTACCTCCAAAAACAGAAAGAAAACATAGATTAACTCAGGTTAAACAAACTCAGAGCAGACAGTGATCTCTAACAGTTATAATATAAAATAATCCCACTAGATCCCAAAACACAAGGAATGCTTGATGTTCTGATCCCTTTTTGCTGAAATTCAGTTAACAGGTGGCTGCTGGAGGAGAGCAGGACACCAAAGTTATTAACTCAGTATATTTGTGTTACCTAAACAATAATTAATGATGCATCTTGCTATTTTATAGATCCTGAGCTAACCTTATTCTCTGTCTGTCTTTTTTGGATTTAACATCAGTCCCTATTTTCTTTTTTCTTCCCCCGTCTTTCTATTTTTTCTTCTCCTACAAATTATCAACACTCCTGCTCCCAAACTCCTGTGAGGTCTTCAAACAGTTCTTTTTCAGCAGATGTTGCAGTTTTCAAGGCCTCTTACAGTCTGACCATTTGTTGATCATGGTGAGACAGAGAGCTCTTCCTTGGTGATGTCTCTGTCAGCACTCGGTCACATGTGAGAGCATTTTGGCTGAAGTTCATTTTCACTGCAAAGCCTTCTTGACCTTTTAAACTTTGTGCTGTTAGGTTCACAGTCTTTAAGGTGGTGTTGTCCTCTTTATGATTGGACTGTAGATGGTAGATGTGGTCTGACTGGCTGCGTCCTCAGCGTTGGGAAGACGCTGACGTCAGTGGAGGTGGGCTTGGGCCTGTGATGCATCAGGTCGACACGCCTCTCTGTGAAACGCCTCCTGTATCACCTCCCTCTCTTCCTCACAGTCAGATTCTGCTGTGTCCATTTTGAAGCTGCTCTCTCGCCTTCTTCATGAAACTCCAGAGCTGCCATCTTGTCCAGTGCAGCTCTGTCTCGCTGTCGTCTTGTCTCATGGTTCGTTGTGCTCTGCAGGTTCCTTGGTCTGTAGACAGACTGTTGCCTTTCTGCCACCTGTTTTAACTTTTCACTTCTTTGTTTGGGAGTTGTTGTTCTTTCTATTCATATCTAGCTCTCGTCTCCTCCCTTTCTATTATAGCCTCTCTTTTTCCATCTCTCCTTTATATCTGAACTCAACCCTTTAAAGAGCCTAATTCTTTTTTCTTCTTCTTCTGCCTGTACTGGCCCTTGACTGCACTTACTTATATCTTTCTTCCACTTGCTGTGTACGTTTCTTCATCTATTTAGACCTTATCTACCAGGATGGGCTCTTTCATTATTCTGTCTCAGTGACTACTTTTCCTTCACTGACGACTATATCGTATGTCAATATTATCTAACTGTTGGTCAAACTGTTTCTCTCTATTTTCCCTTCATTCTGAGCTTTCTCTATCTCTTATCTGACGTCTTTTATTTTATCTTTAACTACTTAGTTGTGCTGTTACCACATATGTTGCTGCCACAGCTCCCTCCTTTGACCACCTTTGCAGTTAATATTTCTTTTTTCTGCTCTTTACCCTTTAATTTCACCTGCTGTTTGCCTCCCAGGACAGCCATCGCACACTCACTGCGAGAAAAAGAAAAGACGGTTAATTTTCAAGCCACACAACCAAGAAACTAGAATGAAACAATTCATTGAAAGAAACTCAGGCAGCTCCCCTTGTTTTTATATCAAAGAGCTATTCAACTGAAAAATCATCAAAGCAGAGTTTACTAAAAATAACTAACATCAGTGAAACTAACAACTATTAAAATATCAAATTCATTTTCTCACATCTAATACAAAATTGATGGCTCTCAATCCCTTCTCCAACTTAAATCCTTCATAGATAACACCTCACATTGCTGCTTATCAATCTGTACTTCTGTTTCAATAACTTAGCAAACTTTATCAGATGTCATAATTTTTCTAGTTTTGTTCCTTCTCCTCGACCAAAAAGTGTCTTCAGCCTGTTATTCTGAACTAAATTTCCTTTATTATCATAATACTTCAGTAGGCTGTTTCAACTGCACTTTTCTTTTCTGTATCCAGCAGTCATTGCCGTTCTTTTACTAATCTGCTTACTGTCAAGCTGTTATTGGTTCAAAAAACCTTTATAACTTCTGTTATTATTAACTCATGAGTAACTTGGTATAACGTGCTGTTGTTATACTATAAAGGTGCAACAGATCACAAAACTCTCATATAACTTTTGGTTTAGGGCTGAACTGCTCTCTTTTTCTCTCTCTGCCTGCTGTCCTCCCCCACATGGACACACACACTCACAGACACTCACACAGCTGCAGCTCAGCCGACTTGCATTTGAGGAACAACATACAAGACAACACAACATTGATCATGCATTCACACTTTCAATCATACGTTTGCACCCAACTCTCACAACCGAGTGGTTCCCAATCCGTATCCGCTTTCTCTTATTTAGTAAATTTAGTTCATTTGTAGCAAATTCAGTTAAATTTTTGACAATTTTCCTTAATTTATTTTTGTACTTTAACTAGGTTCAAGAGTGAGGAAGCTTTCAGGAACTTCACCTGGGTGGAGAATCCTGTACTCAGACACACACTATTATGCAGAAATTTTAGAAAAAGATTTTCAGAGGTGTCTCTGAGATACAGTCTGTCCATCCCTGGTCAAGGTCATCCTGCCCCTATTCAACACTCCTGGCTGGCTCGCCACGTAATGTCGTGTAAAAATTCAAGACTTGGGCCAGATAAGAAAGCTTGATCTTTTACCAACATTTTTATTATCAACAAAAACAGAATACAAAAGTTCCACCGGAGTGAGTCAGAGATCGGTGCAAAATAGAGCCCCATTCTGTTACCAGAACAGAGACCCGAGTCCACATGAAAACCATGTAACGACTGACTTTCACCTCCTTTTGGACCACCTTTTTATACATCATCATCATTTATACATCATCTCTTGGCTCTCTTTCCTACTGGGTCTGGGAAAGTCCCTGACTGCCTGCTCCTCCTCTCTGTGTCCTCTGCATGCACTCTGCTTGATCATGCCATTTCATCCATAACCTGACTTTTGTGGAATAAACTGGTGTTGTTTGTGCTCTGTGCTGGAAACAGGACATTCTTACTGTGATGGACTATATTGATGTATGTTTTTGTAATACAACTTTCACAAAATCTGCTTCTATATTTTCCTTTGCAGGTGTTGTTGATGCTGCCTCACTGTGCTCCCAAAGCAATGTGCTACTGCTGAGCCTGGGCAGTTATATACAGAGAGGAGCACACACACTCAGAGCTGTAGAGTTTTAACACTGTGATCCTAACTTTACACTGTAAAATGACACTTTAAATGATGACAATGTAGAACACCATTGCTCTAGTAATTATGATAACAATTTAGGCTATAATGCTCCAAAATAATTCACAACAGGTTCTGTTAGTTTCATGTGAGGAAGGTCTCAGCCTCCTCATCATCAGCGCTTCATACACCTCAGCGTTTATTCACCAACTCTGTTTGTGGTTATTCACAAACAGCTTGTTGTTGTTGTAGTAATAAACTGCCCCCCCTCCCTTTAGGCCAGTGAGATGCTGCTGTTCAACAAGAAGCTGACGGCGGTCCAGGCCTGTGAACTCGGTCTGGTCACCGAGGTTTTCCCTGACAGCAGCTTCCAGTCGGAGGTTTGGACCAGACTGAAGGCCTACGCCAAGCTGCCCCCAACGTAAACACACACTCTCTGTATTTTAGCGCTCCTGCTTTGTTCACTTTGAGGAACAGGTCGTGGTGCGTTTTCTCTCTTTGTAAAACTGCCTGTTTCCTGGCCTGCTGTGGGAACACATTTAGACAAATAAGCGCAGGTCTCCATTAGAAGTGAATCCACGTTGTGAATCCGGTCATGTGAAGTCCGTCGCTCTCTGTCTGCTAACGTCTCTGCAGCCTGATGATGTTTACGTTACGCTGCTGCCTTCAAAATAAAAGCACATAAGCCGTCTGTCGGACTTAGATCAAATGAATGACGCGTATCTGATATTATTGGATCATTTTTATACAAGTAATATTCTGTTTTAAGTAAATAAAGTGTTTCATAGTTGCCTGTTTCAGTCCTGGGACGCCCGTCAGGGTCAGCTCAGGGATTTTAGCAAATAAAAGCAGAGTTTTACGGTATGCACCTCCTCTACAGAAACATCTTCTTCTCTTTCAGTTTGCTGCTGTGAGTTTTAGAGGAAATCCAGACGAACAACCTTCAACAGAGCGCAGGACTCTGAACCACTAGCTGGTCCAGACCAGAACCTCTGCGGCCTGTTGGATGATCACTGTGGAGAAAAGCTAAATAAGTCTCTCTCTCTCTCTCTCTCAGTCTCTGGCGCTCTCTAAACAGCTGATGCGCTCGGTGGACAGGGAGCGTCTCCACGCGGTGAACGACGCCGAGGTGGAGCGTCTGATGGAGCGCTGGACGTCGGACGAGTGTTTCAACGCCGTCATGAGCTTCTTCCAGGCCAAGGCCAAACTCTGAGCGAGGTGTGAGTGTGAACAGAGGGGATCGGTAATCGGGGCGAAATGTAAACGGCGGTGGGAGCAGCTCCGTCCTGCAGGCGGCGTGCCTCCACACGCTGACCCGTTAGTTCCCTCCTGAATGAGACTGATTCTCTGGAGAGAAGTAGATTAACTGCTGTCTGGTTTACTGCGTGTGAAACTGTCCTGAATGTTACTCGTAGATGAAGAGCAGCCAGCCAATCACAGAGCAGCGCTAACGTTAACTAACCTTCACTCTCGCTGCAGCCTTCAGTTGTTACCGTTAGCTTTTAACCCTGATTGTAACTTTTATTATATTTTATGTTTCTTTTAAACTTTTACATATTTCCCTGTTGCTTTTATGTTTTATGTAAAGCACTTTGAATTGCCTTGTTGTTAAAATGTGCTATACAAATAAACTTTCCTTTCCTTAGAGATAATTCAGCCGCCTGTCTGACTGACAACATCACGATGTCTGTAACCTTCCTCTTCCTCTTTCTCGAGGTTAAAGTGCCTTAAACTCTTTGTAGCTCGCCACTCTGTCCCCTCAATTAAAGAAACTTTGGAATTATTCAAAAGCGACGAGTTTTTTTATTTAAACGGGTTACCATGGAGATCCACCTGTTTAGACCTGAGCCAGGTCTCTGTGGTCCCGGAGAACCCGAGTCTGGATTCGGGGTTCAGGCCTCAGGTGTTAAAATTCGACAGGCACCTCTGGGTTGCGGCGACAAGACCAAAGTGAGCTGTCACTCAAAGATAGAGCGCTTCTCGCTGTTCATATTAAATAAGATACTGCAGAGACATCCGGCCACACGACTTGGTTGCTGGGAAAGGTTTTGTTAACATAGCTCAACGCTTTGTTAATGTAGCCACTAAAAATGGCAGACGTGACGTAGAAGATGCTCTGCCTCACCCAACCAGTGGATCCAGACATGTTGAGGAGAGAGCGCAGGCGTCTGTGGCCACGGAGATAAAGGCCATCATTGAAACATATGGATGTGCCGTCACAACAGATACGGCCGGAGGATTACCATAAAACATCTTTCATATCCAGCACCATCCATCACACAAACAAACAGTGACTTCTGTCCAGTTTCCAGGGTGTAAATAAAGGCCTTGTTTGTGTTACTCAGGTTTCATTTTTAGTGCATATTATGAATACAGTGGTTTTTGTAGGCTCTGCTGCAGTCTCACCCCTAAAGTCCACTGACTCTGGAGGGTGCAGCCTGCCCCACGTTAGTGACGTGTTATTAATTTGTCCTTCTACTGCCGTCCAGCGGGCTGCCAGGCCGCATGGTAGTGACATTGGCTAGATGGTGACAGTCCCAGATGTGTCGCAAGGCTTCATGATCCACTGACTGCAAACCAGGAAATACGTTCCGATAACTTTGTTTATCTCCGTAATGTACCGTCATGTAGATATCTGCGTCTGAGTGGAGTTTGCAGGCTACATCGTAGCTGCACGATGATTCACGGGTATAACCTCTCCCACCTGCAGTTCAAAGCGAGGACTGTGAGCGTGATCATGGAGGAGACTGTGTCGCTGTTCAAAACACTGCAAAACATATGATAGAATGATACAAATATAATTTGTATTTGTTGGCGTAAAATAATCGTTTTGGTTGTTAACTCTGCTTCATGATTTAAATCCCTGCTGTGGTCGGACACTAGGACCCTGAGGGCCAAGCTGCAGAGCAACATTACCATAATTCAGACAGTAGCCACTTTAAACAGGATCCTTATCCTATAACAGCTGACATGAAAAAGTATTGATTGTATGTTTGTCTGCATCCAAACTACAGAGCAAAATCACACTCTGATTGGACCAATCTACAGTAATTAGTGTGATTAAAAAGCATTCTTTGGACCTGCAACTTATCTCAGACAGATGAATTAGACATGGTTTTACTTTCTCACACATGTAGATGAGCAGCTGGGTAGAGTTTCAGTCACAGAAGAACTCCGTCCGGCCTCAGTGAATTCCCTCTAAAAGCAACATTACAGCACCTTTTGTCCAGCAGAGGAGAAATGGAAGAAGAGAACATGTCTCTTTTTACTTGTTAACATCTTGGCTTCTTCACTGGTTGGAGACAAACGTGTCGTTCCATTACAGTAACAAGTGCAAAGATATTGCAGGCGAAGGTTACGCCCTCCCCGTCTTTCAATCCTTGAGACGTTTCTGGTTGTTCGTGTATCAAATATGAACACATGTTAATATTCGATGACACTTTACTGCATTATTTTGGCAGGTGCACCTGAGGTGGTGGACAGAGTACTGACAATATACCTCAGACCTGCAAAGAGCTAAAACACTGACTGTGAGCTCAGAACACAAGAATCCAAAACTAGTTTGTTCAAGAGTTTCACCCAAAACTGAGGCTCCAGACCGTTTCAGTGAGGGAAAAAAGATTAAATTAATTATTATTCAATTAGAAAAACCTACATGTGTGTGATGTGGTTAAAGAGATGACTCAGAGATACTGTAGTCTGGGGACATTTACGGTCTTTCCCAATGTCAGAAAGTTCAATCAAAGTAAGTTAGTCTATCGTGGCTGAACAGGCAATATTGTGATAATGATTTTACACCACATTGTGAATCTGAGATATATTTGGAATTTGATTGACTATATGTCTAATCAAAATCTAAATAAATAAACTAGATGTGTTCATTCTGTCGGCCCATAATAACCATGACAGAGCAGCATTTACCTTCACATTCTCATAGGGCCATTTCTTCTTCACTCTTTACTTTGATGTCAGGAATATTATTTATTTTACATTGACACTGACATAAGTAACCTGTTTTACTAATGTTATAGTTATTTTAAGGCACATTACATTTTGAATTAAGTTACTGTAATAATCCTTGTTTTTAGTCAAATTACATAAAAAAGACCAAACCTCTCAACACCAGAGAGACTTTTCTCCCTGAAACGGCAGAAGTGACCAGAGCACCTTTGTTTTTCTGTGTAGAAGTAACGTTAGCTGTCGGCACAGTGTTAGCAGCAGCTAACGTTACACACAGCAACATACATACTGTGCTGCTGTCTTTGCGTCTTTCTTGTAAAATACATCACAACAACCCACAACAAGCACATTGCGGCAAACCGCAGGCGTCCTGTAGGTGCTGCTGAATCAAAACGGTGTCTGAACGGGAGGCCTCGTCAAAGATGAGGGTCATTTTAAATTTTTATTATTATTTTTAATATTTCATTTTTATTTACTGCGAAATTATTATTATTCAATTCACTAGTAGTTTGATTGGGCAGGTCTCCACAAAAGGGTCTTTACAAATTTATAAATTAATTAAGGAAATTTTGCATTGATAAAAGGTCACTTGCTGAAGCACCCAGCGCACTTGCGTCCTCTAGGCTACATAGTGATTTAGGTTTCTTCTGGGATAGAGGATGTCTCTTACATAGACACACATTATATATATATATATATATATATTATATTTAACTGATCTGTCACTCAACATCATAATGTGCAAAACCCAACACAACGGTTTATCTGCGGTATCAGTCTAGTATCGGTTCACCAGCAGGATTATCGCTGTAGTAAGAGATGCACAGTTTACAGTTTTCCTGGCTGATTTTTTAAAAGGTCTGACCAGCCGATTCGAATTTTGGCTGATTCTGATTTTATTTCCAGATCTATAAGTGACAGCAAACACAAACTATTTATTGGGAAAATCTCCATCAGCACCAGTATAAATGTTAGCTATTCTCACTGGGGTCTAATGAAACATTGATTATAAAATAACATTTTCACTGGAAGGAGCTGAAAATATATTGCACACCATTTTAATTCTACTTAATTCTCTAATTTGTTTTTGTGTTTAATCACAAACTACAGTAATCCTCTCACCTTTCTTTTCCCCTCAGACACAGAAGCTACACCTGTCTCTCTCTCTCTGTCTGCTCTGACTTTATTTGTCAGCAGTTTTATTTAAAGGAACTCTCGTTTCGTATGTTTTCATTCTGTTTTCCCAGCAGCAGATGAGATGCGTGTGGAGGAGGCTTGTTGTTAATCACCCATAGAGACCACCTGGTCTGAATGACATCATCACCATCACTGTTGCTTCACCTGCTCCCTGCTTTAAATATCCACCGCCTCTCTTCCTGTGTGTTTCTCTGCAGATGTAGTGAGCGTCGCGTCTTCTTCACTCTCCTGAATAACTTCCACACACCTGAGAAACGTTTCAGCCCGTGTGTCCGTGGCTGTGACACGAGGTTACTGTCTGTGGCGCAGCTGATTGTAACGTTCAATGTGACCGGCAGAAAATTGGATATTTGAGACTACTTGGCCCCGGTCACCGGTCGAAGCTGAGTAAGAGGGGAGAAAACGGCCTACTTCAGTCCCCAGCTGATCAATCTGTGCGTCTCTAGCTGTAGAAAATGAGTTCCGGTCCAATAAGCTGTTAAACAAGCTACCAAACAAGCTAGGTAATGTTATAATAACAGAGTGAGCTCATGGGGAAATAATCGGTTATCATAACTTCTTGTCATGATTAATTCATCGATGACTCAGCATCATCTGTATTAAAGTCCAATGTTTAAAGTACAGCCCTGCAGCCTGCTTAACATTACTGGAGCTCCACAACTACTGAAGGATCAGAACTGGTTTTCTCCTACCGGTCTCCTCTGAGAGGGAAAGCAGGCAGTGGACCAAACTACTGTGAGGCAAGAGAGAGCAGTAGTTTTTAATTCTACGTGGCCTTTACTCTGCTGTGCTTTACATTACTGCTCCGCTGGTAAATAGCTTCTCCCCTTCAGACCATCTGACCGACACAGTGTGGGGCTGCATGCTGCATGTGAAACTGAAACAACCAAAAACACTACAGATCAGGCAGAAATCTCTCACGTTAACTTCAGCAGCTCACAGTCAAAAACAAAGCAAGGCTGCGCTTCAGGTTTAAGATGATTATATTGCAAAACTCTACCAGTTACGCTGCTGTCTGGATATTTTGCGCCCTATAAGCAACCACCTATGTCGCCT